GAGTGAAACTCCGTCTCAAAAAAAAAAAAATTTTTTTTAATTCAAAGTGGTTTTGCCCAATTTAATGATACACTACAATTTCCAGGAATACAAGTAATATATAAATCAAGAAAAAATGTTCTTTAAAATTTCTCCAAGAAGTTAGTGTTAATAGTATTTAGCGCTAGTACAGTAAAGCTGAATTTGTATTAGCCTCCATTTGTATCTTTCTTATTTATTTATTTTGAGATGGAGTCTTGCTGTCTTTTAGGCTGGAGAGCAGTGGCATGATCTTGGCTCACTGCAACCTCCACCTTCTGGGTTCTTGCAATTCTCATGCCTCAGCCTCCGCAGTAGCTGGGATTACAGGCTTCTACCACCAGGTCTGACTAATTTTTGTATTTTTAGTAGAGACAGAATTTCACCATTTTGGACAGGCTGATCTCGAATTCCTGACCCTAAGTGATCCACCCACCTCAGCCTCCCAAAGTGCTGGGACTACAGGCATGAGTCACCACGCCTGGCCCAGATTTATTTTAATTCTACATATAGATGCAAGCCTCTGTCTACTTCTAGGGAAGTTTGACCTATGACTTACTCACTGAAATGCATGTTATTATAAATTGCTTTGCTTTTACTTATTCTCACATTTATATTTTTTAAGTATAGGTAGTGTTTTGTCTTGTTTTGTTTTGTTTTTATAGAGATGGGTGGTTATAGGGTCAGGGTGGTTTTGAACTTCTGACCTCAGGTGATCCACCCACCTCGGCCTCCCAAAATGTTGGGATTACAGGTATGAGCCACCACGCCCGACCAAAGTATAGGTAGTATATCTATGAATATCATTTTAGAGGAATAAAGGGAATGTTAAAAATATTTTTAGAGGCACAGTATATCTGACAGTTAAGAACCACTTCCAACTTTTTTATTCTTTCATTTTGTCTTCAGAAAAACTGAACTCTCTCTACACTCCTTATAATAAGAGTAAGATTTGGATTTTGCAAACCAAATCATCATACAAAATAAGTATTCTGATGTTAGGTATATTTGCTCTTATAGCAAATAATAATTTAAGTCAGGAACACAGGAGAGTCAAGGCAAAGTTTGCTAAGCCAAGTGATGAAGAATAACATTACAAGCTAACACATAGCACAGTGATCAAGGAAAAAATACTACCAACTCCTCGTAAAGTCTCCTAGAAAAGTGAAGAGGAAAAAATACTTCCCAACTCATCCTTTGAGGCCAAGATATATCAAAGCCAGACAAAAGCACTATAAAATAAGAAAACTAAATACAAACATGCCTGACGAATATTGATACAGAAAACCTTAGCAAAATACTAGTGAACAGAATTCAACAGCACATTAAAAGGATTATGCACCATGATCAAGTGAGATTTCTTTCTGGAATCCAAGGATGGTTAAATATATGTAAATCAATCAATGCAATGCACGAAATTAACAGAATGACAGGAAAAAACCACACGTGGTCATCTCAATTGATGAAGGAAAAGCATTTGACAAAATGTAACACCCTTTCATAATAAAAAATACACAAGAACCTGGGCACAGTAGCTCATGTCTGTAATCCCAGCACTTTGAGAGGCCAAGGCAGAAGGATCACTTGAGTTCAGGAGTTCAAGAGCAGCCTGAGCAACATGGTGAAATCCTGTCTCTACAAAAAATAAAAAATATCAGCCAGGTATGGTAGCATGTGCTTATAGTTACAGCTAGTCAGGAGGCTGAGGTAGGAGGATTGCTTGAACCCAGGAGGTCGAAGCTGCAGTGAGCCATGATTGTGCCACTGCACTCCAGCCTTGGCGACAGAGTGAGCCCCTGTCTTAATACAAACAAAAAATACACACAAAAGAAACTAGAAATAGAAGAAAACTGCAGCATAATAAAGGCCATATATGAAAAGCCCACAGATAGTAATATACTCAATAGTGAAAGACTGAAAGCTTTTCCTCCAAGATTAGGAAGAAGTCAAGGATACCCACTTTCACCATCTGTCTAACCTATTACTGAAAGTTCTAGACACCACAATTAGGCAACAAAAAGAAACAAAA